CAGTACAGTACAGTACAGTATGAAGAGAGAGAATGCTAACCTTGCTCGAGGCGACTTCTGGCGTGGAGGACAGGAAGGCAGGTGGGGAGGCGGTTATTGTTTGGAGGGAGAGTCCCCCTCCCTACAGGAAACCACGACCACATGTCACAGCAGGGAAAATGGCCGTGGGTCATGTTCGTCACCCGATGCGGAGTTCGTGAACGGAAGCAAAATTTTGCAAACGGTGCTGGTCGTGAACCGAATTGTTCGTGAACAGAAGCGTTCGTGAACTGAGGTACCACTGTATTTAGGAAAAAGTATATCAAAAACATATATATTTAGAAAATAGACATACACAGGTGAATTTATTAAGGAAAGCTGTGTAAATGTATGTATTTTGGGGAAATTTGCTTACAAACCCAAATGTGAACTTTTTGTGAGATTTTCTAAAATGCAAAAATCTTGTACAAAGAACAAAATTACCTTAATTTACACAACCCTGAACATAAAGAACACAAATCCATATATACCAATTACCATGAATGGAAATTAAAGCAATACTTATTCAACTATGATGCAGATAATCAATGTGAATTGTATACATCATGAATACAAATCATGAAAAATAAGTATGTACATTGTTAACAGTGTGCTTAAGTTTCTTGAAATACTTTCTGAGAACATGCTGTGCAAATCTGGAAAACAGTGGAATGTGAATTTCAAGTAGAAGTCATCTGTATGCTACTCGATTCCAGCACCGAGCAGAGGACTCAGTGGCCTAGATAAACCTTTCCACTTCTTTGATTCTGGGATTCTATATTAGCTAAATTAGTAATTTTTCAGAATGGTAGTAGTGATGTGTAAGATCACTGGAGAACATTTCTCAGTCTGTGCATGCACATGTTTTAAGCAGTAAGATAAATATTAATGCTGCAGTTATTATTTGGAATTTTTAAGAATACCAGCATTGACTTGAAAATTAAATATATTGGCATTGTTGTTACTAGAATAAAGCTTTAAACTGTGTAATAATATATCTAAAAGGCTGGTATTTTAGCATGCCAGTTTAGCATCTGCTACTGTATTTTCTGGTTGTGAGTTAAAACTCATTACTCATGCTTGTTTATGTATGTGACACTTTATTAATTTTTAGTATTAGCTATTCCTTATAGTTTATTATTTTTAAAATTAATTTTAAGAAGCCTTAGATGAGCACTACCACAAACTGGCTGGGTTTTTGTATCAAATTAAACCATAAGGTGGCTTTATTTGGCTTATGGTTTAGTATGATGTGTGGAATCAGCCAACTGTGTCTATTTAGCAAACCCTAGTTAATCAACCCATACTACTATGCAATACATGAACCTAGCCCATAACCCATATTATAATGGAATACATGAATCTAGCCTATATGGACTGTCTTATTTTTCCCTAATAAATTAATGGTTGAATCTTAACATTGAAACTTGGGTGATCTTCAGCCGTCAATAACACTCTGTATTTTATTTTTTTGTTTTCTTGTTTATACAGTTGATGGGATAGACAAGGTATCAGTTGCCAACTCAGATGGGACAAATCCGGGATCCCAAACCCCTCCTTTTAAGAGGAAGGGCAAACTTTCAACAATTGGTAAAATCTTCAAACCATGGAAATGGCGAAAGAAGAAAACAAGTGAAAAATTTATAGAAACATCAGCAGGTATGACTGATGATACTGACAAATACTTTATGAAATCTGAAAAGATTATAATCGTCAGAGTTGAGAAGAACTGTGCAATTAGTTCTACCGTATTAACTTTGCATATTTGAGCATTTTTAATGTTGTACCCTACCTCTCATCTTGATTTTTGCCAGTTCTTCAGAATTTGCCTAATGTTACCCATTTACTTGCATTTCTATCCTTCAGCATTTCTGTACTCCTGCAAATTTCTTTTTCCCATGGCTAAACTTTGTAGTTGCCCCCAAAATATTCCTATTATTTTTAAATATACTTTAATCTTGTTACCTTGTTACACTGAACTCCTGGCTCCTGATGTGTTGCTTTGATACTGAGTCTTAATCTCTTGAACGCCACCCACACTTTCCCATTATAGCAATTAATTAGCTGTAAGATCCTTAAAGATCATATAGTTGTGTGGAAATTATTCTCCACAAATTAAAGCTCAGTTGCTAAGTCTTTTAGAACTCTAATTAGTTTTTTATTTAATTAAAATGAAACAGAATAATATATTCCAAATGCCAATTTAAAGCGAATTGTCTCATAGTCTCTGGTTGATTTTATTTTTATTTCTGTAGGTTTAATAGCACATAAGTAAACTCGTGTTTTTTAGAAAATTGTTCCTCCAATTACTGTTTTTTTATGTCATTAAAATACAATTATATCTCAACAAATTTAAGTAAGGATGTACAGAGTTAAGAAATATTTATGCTGTGTGCATAAAGACTTTCAATGGAGGAGTGACTTTTCTGTGGTACACTGAGAAAAAGGAGATGAACATAGTTCATTAGTGATGTTTAGGGTATAACAGTCCTGACATTTGCCTTTTGAGATCAAGAAACACAACACATTTAATATCTTTTTACTATTAAGAAAGAGGTATAAACATGTGAAGAACTATATATACGTGTCCTGTTATGTATATACAGTTCTGGGTTCTAATGGTTGAGTTCATGGTGCTTTTGCTGCTTAGTGTATTAGAATACTCATTTACATTACGTATATAGGTGCGCATACTCTTTCTCTCTGCCTTCAAACGATTCTTAAAAGCCACTTTTTCCATTTTGCATAATTTCTTAAGCCTTATTCCTATTAGCCAAATTATATTAAATGTACAGTCACTGTTCCTTTTTATCCTTCCTTGTCCGCTGCCCTCCATTCCCTGGGCTCTTTTGAAATGTAAGCTGTGAATTCCTTGAAGGCAGAAGCATGTCTTTTTAGCTGTAAAATTCTGTAAAGTGCCATGTATATTAATGGCAGCATATAATTGATAATCTAGGAGACAAAACTGTTTTGCTGCTGAGGTGGAATTCAGATGTCTTGTAAAATGCAGAAGTGTTAATTTTAAAGTAACACAGTTGTGCACAATAATCTGTTCCTTTAAAGAAGTTTTAATTAGGGTGAAACATAAGTGGTACAGTCATATCTTAAGTGAATCTGAGAGGAAAAATCATAGAAATGTTTAAATCCTCAAATATTGGAGAAGTAGAATTGTTAGATTTGATGGAGAAATAGCATACTTTACAACTAAATATGAAGATAAAAATAAAATATGTAAATCATAATACTTGCAAGCCTACTTATTATATATGAACTTGGAATGTAGTTCATGGCAGAGCACAGTTTCTAGGCATTTGTAGGTTCAGCTCTAGCATTTTTACTTTAAAAACAGAAACAAATTTTAAAAGGTATTGGATTGAAGGTTTGGGAATACTTTTACTAAAATTTGGAGAGCAACTGCCAGGAACACCAATGATCTGATTCTGAGCAAATCAGGTTTCTATGTTGATAGGGACTTTAAAAAATGTTGAACAAGATGTTTATAAAACTTTGTTTTTGACATAGAATAAAAACAATAGCAAGTTGGATAAATTGCACTTCAAAGAAGCAGGATAAAAAGAGTACTGATACTTTTGAAAATAGTGTTGGAGAAGCCTCTTGAGAATACCACAGACAGCCAAGAAAACAAGCAAACAGATCATAGAACAAATCAATCTAGAGTTCTCCCTCAAGGCACAAATGACCAGGCTCAAATTATCATAGTTTGTACACATTCGGTGAAGACTTAGTTCTCTTGAGAAGTCTACAATGTTGGGAAAGGTGGAAGGAAAGAAAAAAAGGACGACTAGCAAAAGGTGGATGGACTCCGTTACAGTGGCAATGGGTATACTGTTGGAAGATCTGAAAGCCCAGGTTGAGTACAGATTGTCCTGGAGAAAATCTATCTATGTGGTCACTAAGAGTTGACACCAACTTGATGGCACATAATCAAGAAGGATAAATATATGCTAGCAGCATGCAAAGGATATAAAGATGCCTGTGACAAGCTATAATGAAGCTGGATTTTAGAAAGAAAAGCATTCCATGGCTGGTTTAGAAATTACATTTCAGAAGGATAGGCTATGCATAAATGGTTTCTGTGGGAAATCAGTGATGATAGCAAAAGTTTAAATTCATTTAGGATGTTAGTCTTAAATAATGAACTGTAGCAAAATTTTAAGGGATTGGAAGGGGGGAATTGGAATTGCTATGCTTTATTTGTATATGATGTTTGCATCATAATTTGCAATTACCCCTCAGCTGGCTTTTGTATTGAATCCATGACATCCCACATCTTGGATAACATACAGACTTTATGTATAAACCTAATACCTCTGTCAGAACCATTGATCCAGGGATTATTGTTCCTTATTTTTGCATTTTCCTGTCAGCAGTAATATAAAAAAAGAAAACACCATAAAATATAGCTCTTGAAAGCAGAGATTACATTGTTTATAACTTAATGCATCAAAGCATGAGAAAGGTTTAAGGAAGTTCCCTTGTGCAAAAACTAGTAAGTTGTGGCTGAAACTAAATCTTGAGACTTATGAATCTGGCTCTGAGCCAACATCATATTGTCTATTTGTTATGACATATGCTAGTACTGGAACTGATTAGTTAATGGAATCTGTTCAAGAGAATTTCCTGAACCATGAGGCTGTAAGTGATGTAACTTTCTTAGTATGCATGTTTTAGTTTTCAGAAGTATATTGTTTTTTAAGACAGAAATGTCTGCATTTAGCAAAAATAAAAAGAATGTGTCCTTGTCACATAATTAATATAGCTTCCATGCTTGAACAGATAATGTATAAATCTAACAATGTAAACTTGCTTACTACCTCTCTGTAGCACTATTTTCTGCCCAGTATCCCTTATTGGATAATTACATATGTACCCATCACACTATACCCTTTTGGAGTAAGCAACATTATGCAAAATGCCAAAAAGGAGAAAAATTACTAGCAAGCAAAACAAATGAAAGGGAGACGATAAAAAGAGGGAAACACAGTTCATACTAACCCTATTACCTGTCCGTATTTTCTTATCTGTATAAACCATTCTTTCTTCCACCATATTCATGTACTACTTCATACATTGACTTTTGCTATTTAAACTTCTCAATTCTCTCTTTCTGAGCAATTCATCAACTGCTTCCAGTCAGTTTTTCATTCTCCTTCCTTTTGACCCATTCACTCTTCCTTCAAATACTTGTTTTTCAATTTGATCCTCATTCATTCTAATATTACTAACAATAAATATACATTCTGAAAGATGGAAGCCAAAATTACCTTTGTTTTAATTTTTTAGTTGTCTTAGTTTATTTTTACTGAATAATGTTTAACTTCTCTATTTTTTTAAGTGCTGGAAAGAAAGATATCAACAAGACAGAGCAGAGAGGAGCTAATAAGAAGGGGTGTCTTAAAGGAAATAAACGAGCAAGGTGATCACAATTAATATAGGTTAATAGACCTTATATTTCATTTAAATGATGATGAATATTGTTTGCATTGCTTTGAAATGTATAGTTCATTGACACAGTTTGTAGTTGAGATTGACAGTGTGACAGTCACATATCTCTAGATATGCCTTTTGGCTCATGGCATCCAAGTAATTTTTGGTTGGAAAATAATACTGAAAAACAGTATTACAGTACTTTAACTCCAGGTGCCTTGGCCACCTCTTTTCTTTTCTCCCCAGAAGTACTCAGGTTGTTTTGCAATGTAAGGAATGTAGAGACTCCAAGGTCTGTGGAAAACAAATGAAGGGAGAAAGAGAGAAAGTTGCTACATGATAAGTTTAGGGACTTTGGGGGAGCAACAGAGAGCAACCTAATGTGGGAAGACGGAGTTCATGTGGGACAGAGAAAAGAAAGAGGAGTGAGTGGCTTGGGTGAGTGAATTTTGTGTGGTAGGAAATGGAGTGAGAGAATTGGTGGGGTGATTTTGTAAAAGAGAGAAAGGTTTTAAAGGAATAGGCTTGGGTTCTGCCCCAAAAATCCCAGTTTTACCTTGTATTCAATCTCTTGGTCAAGGTTTTAATCTTTTTATCCTTATTAGTTAGCCTTTCTATGAAATTGGTGCTTTTCTTTGGCCAAACTAATCATGGAAGACATTTGCAAATGGTCACCCACCACTCAGAGCTGCCTTGGAGTAGAGTGGCATAAAAATATGAGGGAGGGAGGGAAAGAAGGACATTTTGTGAAAGTACCTATGGCACTTTCTTAAAAATCTCCCCCAATTTAGAGATGAGTCCTCTGTTCTAGTACCATGAGAGAAATGCATTCTTTCTAGCCCCAGTTAACCTGCTTAGATGCAAAGCTGTTTCTTGTGAAAAGCTTTAACCTGGACTTCCATTGTCAGCCCAGTGTAATCTGCCATTACTCGCTATTTGAGTATAAATAAATATTCTTGAAGGACAAACTGGCAGTAATGGCCTTCATATATTTTATAGTTACAATGCAGCTGTATTTTTCTCAGTAAAACTTTATTTCTAATCTCAGCAGCATTTCTATGTTAATATGGAAGATCCAGGATCTTGATTTAAGATACATTAATTACATGCATCTGAGTCCTCTTTGTTTTCATAATGGTACTGATAATCTGAGATAGCACTGTTCAGTACATAGCATCCTGGTTAAAGCCAGTTTTGCTACGTATTTCTAAATAACTTTTTCCTGCATATTTAGGGTAGAATCCCAGTGATAACATTTCATCAATGGAAGTGGTTGTGATAGAAGTAATAGAGTAGAAGGGAGTCAATTCCTCTTTTTGCAACCATTCATGCTTGCTCAAAATATGCTACAGAGTTCTACAATATTCTGAAGACGTTTTTGAAGACATGTAGGGGCAAAGAGATGAGGAGGAGAGACGGTGTGTGTGTGTGGAAACCAGTTCATTTAACCTATATCCAGACTTTCCATGCATGCTTTAGAGACAGATGTTTTGAGCAAGGAAAATAGCTAATGTGTAAATGATGTGACTCATGCTCCTGAACACATGTTCTTATAAGTGGGAAACCTGTAAATGAGAGATTCTTATAAATGCCTTCAGAACTAGCCAATATTTTTGTTTTCATTTCAGATGTGGACGCAACAGTGAATTATGAAATCTCCAATGGTCACACAATAGTAATTACAGAAGAGGTCATACAGGAAGAAAATGTAAAAACCACAGAAGACAATAGTTCATTATCAGCAAAAGCACCTGCTTCTGAAGAGAAAAAGGAGGATAAAAAAGGTATTTTAACACAACCCATCTGAATGTATTCATTTAAAAATACAATCACCCTATATAATTTAAATAGTATATATTATGAAAACAAATCTGTTGGTAACTACAAGGGAGAATGTGGTTCAGTGGAGAAAAGACAGCAATAAGAAACGCTAATTTCTGTTCAGAGGCAGACATTTTCAATAACACATAAACTAAAAAGTTGAGTGATCTATTGGAATGGGAGGAAAAGTGCTAGGTCTTAGAATAAGAGTAGATTTCTGATTGTCCTAAATACTTTCATTGAACTTTGGATGTTACAGAACAAGAACCTATGGCATGTAGTTCTTACAATAGTGCATCAGGTATAGGAAAAACCAGGTTTGAAGGCTTACTCAGCTCTGAAGTTTAGGGGGTGAACAATTGGCCAGTTGCTATCTCTCAGCCTAGCATACAGTATCACACAAGATTGTTCTGGAGAAAATAGGAGGAAAAGAAAACTGGATAGCAATAATGATTTTTAAAAAGCTTATTTTAATTATAAATAACTTTAGCTGTTGTTTTCTGAAATCAGTAGCTGGGGGGTGGGGGTGGGGGCATAAAGAGATTTGATTTAAGACATTTCTGCCCTGTTTCCAGACTTGTGGTAGCTGATAAAGTGCATGTTCTAGCTAATGTGTCATTTATGAGTTATTGCTACTCCTTATGCATGTCTGATCAATATGAAGACAGAGCTCAAATAAAAGAAGGCTGAGCTCAGAATCTTAATTAGCAATTGCTGTACATTTGGGAAGTTAACATGCGATAAAATAATCCTTAACAGAGCTGCTAGTCTTATCCAGGCTTTTCTTAGGCCATGTGAAAATACCCTTGTACATAGAAGCATACATATTTCCTATGGGAATGGCTGCTAGCTACTATACAGTTAGGTGATCTATTACATGATGAATTGTACCCATTAAAATGAAAGAGAGGAAGATTTTTCCTGTTACATTAGCCAATACTGCTGCAGATTAATGTGCTTTTTGTTCATTTTAATTTTTTAAAGTGTACATTTCTTATGTTTTCTCTCTGAGAAATAACTTTGCCACAGAAACATGGCTACAATTCTGCTCATGGATACTAACATCAGGAAAGCTTCCTTATACATAATAAAATGCAAGATTATGCATTGAACAAGACTTTTAACAATAGAGCAAATACAGTTACTGTAAATCCTCATTTTTCTGTACCTCAATGCAGTGGACTTTGCATGCAAATTTCCAAATTTCTGTTGCAATTTACTTCATTTTTCATAATGATATCATAATGTTATAATTATCATCAAGCAAATGATGTAATCACACGGATGACGTGAATTCTCTCAGTGCCATTGCTCTGTGATTCATTGAACACCCCACCCCCCAATTAGTACTTCTAATTATGTTAAGAGCATAGGTGATTAGAGCTCAATAGGCTGGTACATAAGAATTCAAGGGAAATTACAGCTAAACAGCTCTAGAAACAATCCTTCTGAAGCTTATACAGTAAATGCTTACAAATGCTTTCTATATTTGAGTAGTGCTCTTAACAATGATGATGCAATATGAGCCACTCAACAAGCATGTTAAAAAGGAAGTTCTTTTCTTGAACAAGAATAAGAAATGTTGACAAATTTTCATTTGCTAGTTATTTTAGTTAAATGATTACTGGGGGTATGCTCAATTAAGAAATTTGTTCTTGATACTTTATTTATAAAGTTGATCAGCTTTCCCTAACATATTTTTAGAAATAATATATAAATATAATTACCCATGGTAGACTCAAATAATATTGTAAATATAAATGAAAGCTATAGAAGTGATAGTTGTCTTAATCTTTCCTTGACTAGGAACTAGTAAAAAAAAGGTTAAGATGTAAATAATACCCCCCCCTCCAATAAGTGGGGCTGTTTTCCTGAAGACCAACATGTGGCAAAATGGATGTTTTCATACCATGTGTTCTAACTAAGTATATCATGTGACATACCACTTGTACTTAACAGCATTGTATATGCTTGTCTTCATCTACTAATTGTTTTTAATGAGAATGCTGCTTGTCTTTCGAGAGTTGGTTACAAGAAGTTGGAAAAGTGGAAGAAATTCAGTTAGGATAGCTTAGGAGATGTCTTTTAAAATGATGGCTACTGCCCCAAACTGTCAGCAGACTTGATCTCCCTTCAGTGAAGGAAGAACTATTTTTGTAAAAAAAAAATCTTTTTGATTCTGCATTTTGAGAGCCATTCTGGACTTTCTGATAAAAGCTGTACTAGACTGAGAAGCATACTGTAGTTTGATGACAGTTCTTTTTAAAACAAAAGCAATCCTCATTCTCAAGAAAGTAGAGCAGCAGGAAGAAATCTGTTTCTTTGTCTAGTTTATTCTTGTTGTCCATTTGTCAGTTGCGTGTTCACTTTCTTATTCATAGAGAAACCTCTTCCTAAAGATCTTGAAACATCAGCAGTATCTGTTTCTCCTCCTCCTCCTCCTCTACCACCACCACCTCCTCCTAAACCTAAGCCTAAAGCTAAAAAAACAACCATTCCGCCAAAAAATGCTACTGCTGCTACAACTAGCCATAAAATTAATGAAGTGCCACATGCTAAAAAAAAGGGCAAGTCTCCTTCCAAGCAGACCTCTGCCCCACCTGCCAAGCCAACAAGCCGCAGTGTGAATCGAGAAGCTGGTGAGTATCATGTGGCTTTGAATTCATGGTGCTTATTGCTTGCTTTAAATGTCTCAATGCTCATACTTCTCTATATGGATGTTATTAATATTCCATTGGCACTGTGTTCTAGGTCAGTCTACCTACAAATTGGATTTATGTTTATTAATTATCATTGTCTATAGTTTTCAGCCCACCTTGGCTCACAAACTCCAGTAACGAGCATTAAAGTCTAATAAGAAGCAATATTTCCCAGGTAATTTGTGTAAAGCTGAACAAAAGCTACAGCTGCATAAAAACAAGCATATGACGTTTGTTGGCTGTGAATGATTATTATTAAAGGTGTTGTCTTAACCACTGTCTCCGTAATGTGTGGGTGGACAACTTATGGCCCCATGTATAGCAGCCAGATGCAAGAGCCTATTTAGTGGTTATCAAGTTCTTCTAACCTAAAAAATGCTTGTAAGAATACTATATGTTTCTATCCCTCTTGTTCAGCGAAACCTATCTGAAGATACAGTAGCAAAGTAGAAAAACAATACTGCAAGATTGTTCTGTATAAATGCTATATTAAAAAAATGGAATAAAGCCAATATATGGGTAAATGGTTTCATATCATTCACACAATGAAACTGACAAAATATGATTTCCATAAATACTGTACTTATTCAATAATAATTTCTTATTCTGAAACTACACATATGTTTCCATACATACTTAACCATCATTATATTCTTTTGGGGGATAGGCAAGGTACAGAAATGGGATCAGAAATAGTAAGCAAAAGTAATTAAAGGCATGAGATAGGAAAAAAGAAAAGAGATAGCTAAATCTAGTTTATACCAACACAATTTACTATTCCTTTCTATCTATTCTAGCAAACCATCCTTGCTTCCACCATGTCAGTACACTACTTGATACATAATAAATTACTTTTCATTTTGCTCTTCTTGAGCTCTATACATCTATGACTTTCTCTGTCTTATTCTTCCACTCAACCTATCCACTCATCCTTCAGATGCTTAGTTTGCAGTTTGTTCCTCATTCGCGCGCTCTGTATGGCCAAACTGTAATTATTTCTGTCAAATATGAAAAAATAAGATTTAACTTAACCAAATTTTATAAATGAACTTGAAAATATGAGAATTAGACAATAATAAAAACTATATTGTTCTCTTTACTTGTTTCTGTATTTTTAATTCCAACCCAAATATTTCTTAGTCTTACTTTCAAAAATGCCTTAGCAATAATGAGGTTGGGAAGACTCTTATTTTGGTGTTAAAAAGTCCCAGATTTCAGTAAGAAGCTTATGATTGGCATGTACACAAAATGGAAAACATATTTTGTTTTAAGCTAACCCTACAAAAAGTTTCCACAGAACATTTTAAGTTAGTTATGTCCCAACAGAACAAGAAGTTTCAGTTGTTTTCATCAGAAGAAACAATGAGAATGTGAGACCAGTTGCTGCTCCCTTGTTTTTCACCCTCGGTTCACAAGTGGGATGTACCCAAGTGCAGAAAATTTGAGATGATTTTGAAAACATTAAAATAAATTCCTCTAGGAGACAATGGGAACATAGCTCTGCTCTCACATCTGAAAAATAAGTTTAGATTAGAATCTGTAATCAGAAAAGTATCTCCAATCCATCAACAAAGAAAACACAGATCTTTCTACTGTATTAAAGGACAGAAACATATCTCTTTCATATTCCTTTCAATTAGCACATATTGCCTAATAGATTATCTTAATGTTCAGATGTTTTTTAAAAAAAACTCTTTGCCAATTCTTCTGTAGCCATTGACATTCCACTTACTTAGCAAGAACAAACAACAGATTTGGCATGCTTTATTTTTCCAGCCTGCCTGCCAAATGCAAGCTCAGCAAAAACAACTACGTTGTTCTTTGCTGATGTTTTTGCTTACACATAGGTTTGTTGCAGGTTGTAAAAAAATGCTTGGTCTTTTAACTGTATTCAAGCAACTGCCCAAATCAATAGTCTACATTTTAAAATATATCTTGCATCTTAATGTCAGTAGGTCATGAGCATGCACATGTATACCAAAGCTTCACAGCCCCTCCTCAAAAATGTTTGTAGGGAGAACATGCCCCTGCTATATTAATTGTGACTAAAATTAACTTCTTAGTTCATGTTTATAGTTTAAAGCTTTATTGCAATGCTAGTTAATTAAGAATCCTGATTGGCCTGATATCAGCACTGTCTAAGGCTCATCTGTGCTTCAGTCTGGGAGACAATGGCCAGGAAAAAAAATCATATTTCAGAATGAGTAGAAAGGAGGAGCACGGCATTAGTAACTATTTACATACTTCTGTATGGGTGTTGCAAGTACCACTTATTTACCTTCAGGCTTTCCCTTATTTAGGATGAAAGCATCCTAACAATACAAGGTAGGTTAATGCAAACCTTCTGTTATGATAAAAGGGTATGTCCTCTCATTTCAGCTAATTCCTCTAATTTAAAGAAAGGACATGCTTCCAAGTCATCATCTCCTTCTTCCACATCATCTCGCTCTAAACTTTCTAAAGAGCCAGCATCAAGCAAAACCGGCACAGGGACTCCCAGGGATAAGAAGAAGCATGGGAAACAGGTGACGACACGAACACCATCTGATGGGGACATTACTTCTGCCTCCAGCACGGCAGTAGAGAACTCAGAGACCAAAGCAGAACTCTTTAAATCAGAAGAGTCTCTCCATGTTATTCCTGAAGCTGGAGACACAACCCAGAACAGCACTGTGACTGTTCCTCCCCCTCCTCCTGCTGTTCCGCCTCCTCTTCCTCCATCCATCCCATCTCTGTCTCCAGGCTGTGAGCCCACTGGCTTCTCAGGCACACAACATGTGCCAGTTAGCATTGAAGTAGGCCCGTCTGTTCCTGGCACACATTTTAATGATCTTCATATAAAAACTGAAGCAGACAGTGAAAGCTCTTCAAGCAGTGCTGTCTTAGACAATAGCCTGGAGATTGGGGGAGAAGACACAGAATGGTAAGATTACATGCTTTCAGCTAGTTGTGTAATTCTGGGATACCCATGCATTTAGGAAGATGATGGAGCAACTCAGGTAGGCCTTCATATACCTTGACTTAGAATTTGAACTTGTTTCGAAACATAGGAAGATATGATTAAATATATTTTAATTAATACTTTGAATTCTATTTTTGTATTTCCAAGCAGACAAGGAAAGGAGAATCAAAATAATTTGGTTGGACTGCTTTGATTCTATCTAAATCTACAAATTTGTTTTCAAAATTACAGCTTCATTTTCAAATTTACAGCTCTTTTGGAGATGCTAGCTTGAAAATCTTGACAGGGTAGCTGTCAAAATCTGTGGTGAAATGGCACTCTCAGCAACTATTTAAAAAGGCAGGTACTAAGATAAATCCAGTTTAGCATTCCATTTATGAAAGTAAGGTAGCAGATTGAAAGGAAGCTAATGGAAATAAATAGCAAGCCCATAGGTGAGGCATCAGAGGAAGAATTAAGATGAGTTCAGCCCCTCCTTGGTCATTTACAGAACCAGTTTAGAAAGTACCATTTCTGTTCCAGTGGCAGGTCATGCCTATTAAAAGCAGTTTTTCTTCACTTGTTTATATGTTGTCTCCTGCTTGCCATACACACGTGTGTGTGTGTGTACACACAGACATACACAAAGTGAGTATACTTGTTTGCCTACATGCAAAATAAATTAATACAATTTAGAAAAATCCAAATGTACTCTGCATTTAGAAAACTCAAATTGTATACTGAGAATTAGTTATACAACACAGTCCATCTAAGGCCAGAATCAAGGATGTCCCCCATGAGAATATTTTTCCCAAGGGAGATTGGATAAAGATTATGAAGAAGGAAAGTTGTAGCGAGCTGGATATAAAACACAGAAAAAGAATTGTGTTGATTGATTAGCATAGATCAATAAAAAGATTGTCCATGGTTTCTTACTTTGGATAGACATAGTATGCATATATCGTTGCATGTTTCCAAACGAGTAGTAGTAGTTTGGTTTAGTAGTCTATGAGAATTGATGGAAGATAGTAAAATTGAATAGGCCTCTGAACATTGCAAGGGGCCAGGAGGATATTTAGTTGGAGCAGAGAAACTCAGCAGAGTGAAAAAACAGTGTGGAAATTGCAATGGCACTATGAAGTGGCAGTAGTTGGAGTAATGGTAAGTTTTTCTATGGCCCATCTGCTCTTGGCAATACTTACGATTATAAATTACTTTCAGACTTCAGGGATGTTTTCCATCAGCCTTTCCTAACCAAGCATCCTCCAGATATGTACAACTCCCAAGATTCTTAGCAAGTATGGTCAAAGTCCATACTGACTGTCGTCATGGATGAAGTAGCCCACCTGAAAGCTACCAGGTGGAGGAAGGTTGCTTTATATGAGCTTAAAGCTGGTCAAACATCTGCTTAATATTATATATGACTGATTCATGAACTTATTTTTATTTTCTTAATTCATCTATATGGTTATGAAATCTGGCTGGGTGACTTTGGGCCAGTCACTCTCTCTCAGCCCAACTCACCTCACAGGATTGTTGTTGTGGGAAAAATAGGAGGAGGAAGGAGTATTAGAAATGTTTGCTACCTTAAGTTATTTATAAAAATAAGGTGGGATAAAAAAAATCTTAAGAAAAACGTTAGCAGTTTGGCCTCATATTGGTCATAAATGGAAGACTGATTTTTAGAAATTCTAGCTTTTAATGTAAAGTACTAGATTTAAAGTAGATCCCTAAAAGTAGTAACAACTTTACTGAGGTGCCAGAGTATGGGAAAACACATCTTCAAATGTACTGTGGTTGGTTGAGTTGGTGGGGAACTTTAGTTTTAGGTCCTTAGAACTGATTGCTTTGCAAGAGTCATATAGCTTGATTTATATTTTAATAAATTATTTCATGGATCATTTTATGCACATTTCCTGGGTGGTTATATTTCATGTATGAGTGTTCTTTTGTATTTGTTTTTCTAATAGTTCTGTTATCAAAGAAGATCAGGAAAAGGAAAACCCTGAGCAAAGTGGTCCTCTTCTGACAGAGGAACCTTCTGAAGATGCTCTAGAAATTGAAAACAGCAAAAATAATCATACCAGTGACTCAGATTCAGATGGGCCTATACTTTACACGGATGAAGATGAAGATGAGGATGAGGACGCAAGCAGTGAAAGTAAGATAACTTAATAAGCAACCATTTGTCATTTTTAAAATGAACAAAGAAACAATATATGCTTTACAACTTGTTTTACTTCTGAATCAAAATACCTAGAAAAGTTTCTAAAGCTGCTGATCGGCTTGTTGCATTCATTGGTATCAGGTAGATGCTTTCTTCATTCTGTTGGTAAGAGACACTACATACTTGTCCTACTACTGGAATATTACTATTGGAGTGTTTGATGCAAATTCTTCCTGTTGTCCTTAATTAACAATTTGGGATATATGTGAACTCAGAGTTCATATATTGGAAGTATTTCTTGGGGCTTAATACATCTTTGCCGGCCCTATTATTTGACATGTGTTTTCTATATATTCTGCTTCCCTCCTTTGGAATCTCCATGAAGATGGAATTACCCAGTGTCAAAGACAAAATTGGTTTCACTCACACTGTGATTATCTCACAAATGCAGCACTTCCATATTTTAGATGTGCGTGTAAAAGGTTTTAGTTTAATGTGTGGCATCTCCATGTAGGTCTAGTAAAGCCGTTGCCTTTGACTCTGTTTAAAGCAGATTCTTACATTCCTAGATACCTTAATCACAGCAGTTTGTTTATATGAGAGCAAAGGTAAAAAGAAATAGGAATTTTATGTTGGGGTGAGAGATAAACCTGCCCCCTTCTTTATAAACTAGCTACTGAGGATCAAGTCTGCTTCTAATTGCAGAAACTCAGCCTGGGTTCTCTATTTTCATTATGCTAGAATAAAATTTGGTAAATTTTTAAGTGCTAGATGCCTTCCCAAATAAAAATTGTTCAGAAATTGCCTGTATTTCACAAGATTGTCAAATCATGCAAGGTTGTGTGACAGCCTTGAGATATAATGTAAGAATTTAATCTGACAATTGGTGAACTCACAAGATTTTGACCACTAAAAAAAAATAAACCTATTTAAACATTGTACTTATTTTAGGACTCTGTGGATGCCATCTATGAGTACCATGTTGCTAGAATTTAGCAGATTGTCCATGCATCCAGACAAATGTATTATGCTAATAAAGCTGCTTTTGAAAAGTGTTCAGAAACTGCAACTGCTGTAGAATGCACTGGTCAAAATATTAAATGAGGTTGCCACAAATACATCATGCCAGGATGGAAGTATTTTCACAGGCTGCCTATTTTTATTCTTTATTTTTAGAATAAATAGATAATCCCCTTAAATTTAATCTCCCTAGCCTTAAGAGATACCGGATATTTAAATGTCAGTAATGCTCTAAGTTTGGTGTAGTGATTAAAGGCACCAGGCTAGAAACAGGGAGACCGTGAGTTCTAGTCTCGCCTTAGGCACAAAGCCAGCTGGGTGACTTTGTACCAGTCACTCTCTCTCATTCCTAGGAAGCAGGTAGTGGCAAACCACTCCTGAAATGTTGCCAAGAAAACTGCAGAGACTTGTCCAGGCAGTCGCCAGGAGTCAACATTGGCTTGAAGGCACCCCCTGCATTCTGTTATCCACCAGTTTGCTAACTAAAGTATTCCTATCAAATTATTCCATAAGCATTTGGGAGGTGGGGATTGATGTTTCTGATTGCACCTTAGTTGGCAGATGAGTTCTAAGGCATTAAGGCAGTGCTTCCCAAACTTTTTCCTTCGTTACCCAAAACTCAGGAAGGAGGGCGCTGGTGGGTGTGTGCGTGCAGAGGGGGGAAGGGGGCACAGTGCATGCAAGAGAAGAAAGGCCAGGGTGGGTGGGAGAGACTTACCTGAGTGACTTGTGACCTCCCCTGACGGGTGACCATGGGACATTGCAACCAGCTGAAAGTGCAAACTGGTTACCAAGCACCCAAATTTTGTACACATGACCCCAGGGGTGCTACAATGGCTGGAACTTCAAGGACTGGTCGTAAGTCCCTTCTTTCAGCATCATCATAATTTCGAATGGTCGCTTTATGAATGGCCATAACTCGAGGACTACCTGTATTATAAAAACAGTATCATTGAATGATCTTTATGTCATTTCAGCAAATTACCATTGGTAATTTCATACATTTTCATCTTAATAGGAATAATTTGGGAGATTTTCAAATATATTTTAGTACATGTAGCAATCTTTAAGTCAGTTTAAATGTCCCTGTTGTGAATGGGTTCATGTGTTGTTATCCAAAGAAAAAACACTTTTACCCAATTTTGGTAATTTACCCAAGTTTGGGAAGCACTGCATTAAGGTATTATAAAGGTAAAAGTGATTTTTATATTAACTAAAATTCCTCCACTGAAAGGGACAAAAAGCTAGAAAGAGCTTTTTAAATTCATGTACTGAATGTCCAAATTGTGGCTGGAACTTGATATATTTAAATTTGAGCATCAATTCATAAAAATCTCATTCTCTACTCCAGGCTCTTTAGCAAGTAAAATACATCGTAGGGATACTCTTGCAATCAAACTTGGCAACAGGCCATCCAAAAAAGAACTGGAAGACAAAAACATCTTACAGAGAACATCTGAAGAAGAGAGACAGGAAATCAGACATCAGATCGGCACAAAACTAGTGAGGTATTGTCTGGGAGAAGGGAGAGTAATAAAGCAGGTTTAAGGTGTAGGAGAGACTGTTTCTCAGCTTTTTGAGTTGGTGATATAAAATAAATAAATGACCACAAAGATCATTAATTTATAATTGAACAATTCAGTCTGAGGTCTTCACACTTGTTCTGTTGAAGCTAGGCCAAACACCTAAGCTAGTGTTTCTCAACCTTAACAACTTTAAGATGTGTGGACATCAAGTCCCAGAATTCCCCAAACAGCCATGGCTGCCTGGGGAATTCTGGGAGTTGAAGTCCACCCATCTTAAAGTTGCCATGGTTGAGAAACACTGACCTAAGCTCTCCCCACCCACAAACTGCAAAAAGTAATTGCATGCAAGTTTTGGTCAATTATCAGACAATTCACAGCTTCTGTTGATACAACAGTTATGCTACCTGCCATAAATCCAAGAAACTTTTGTCTTGAAAGAACACATTTTCTAAGCTTATGTACGACATATGTTTTTTTTTTCCTATAACATCATCTGAATAGGGTTTTTGATTACTACTTTCGTTTCAAGTACCGTGCTGTGCAAATGTTTTAGGTAGGTGCGAAAAAATGCTGTAAAGTAAGAATGCTTGCAAAAATATATATTGTAATTGTTTGTTTATCAATTTACAAAAGGCAAAGTGAGCGAACAGAAGAGAAATCATTATAGCATTTTTTCACACCTGCCTAAAACTTTTGCACAGTACTGTGTATTCATAAGGAAGTTCACAGTTACAAAATTCATTGTATGCTTACTTTATGTGATTTTTATAACACATCTAGTATAGTAACACTAAATGCTAAATATACATGTATTTGCAAATCCAAATCATTCATGTTTAGCATTCAAAGTAATATGTAAAGTCATTATAATTTTATTATGGTATTTGGTAATTTGTATATGAGAAATTGTTTTGGAAATGATTCTTTCTAAACTAGTGTTATGCCCTCATAAGATGCCCTCATAACTGGGAGAAAACGTGTGTATTCCTTTTTGCAGAAGGCTTAGTCAACGACCCACCTCTGAAGAACTAGAACAAAGAAACATCCTGAAACGTAAGCATTTAAGTCTTTAAAATAAATGTAACTAATTCTGCCAGACCAATAATTTTACATTTTGAGAGTGGTCACACTTACATAACTTCCTGGTTTTGTGGATGTGAGTAAATCTGCAAGTTTTTTGCTGAATAAAGCCAAAGTATTAAAAAAATTATATCAGGGTGTGTGAATGTAGCTGACTTCTTAGAATCTTAAGCACTTTTGCCAAGTGTGCCCTGCCATTCGGTGCCTGGACAGGAGTGGACCTCTGCAAGCAGGGAGACAACATTTGGGAAATACATATCCTGACATGAAAATTAGATCTACAAATCTTAGAGACTAGTGCTGAATTATGAATCAGTTTATGCTATCATGCCCACTGGTGTGAATTGAGCATCCTGTTTGTAGGTTATACAGTAAATACATTAAATATTTTAACCTTTTACAATGTATAGCCATTGTGTATTTAGCAAATTGCAGATATGGAGGCTTAGGGCTGTAAGTTTGCTGTCTTGGCCAAAAGTGGCTTTCCAAAAACATATTGTAGCTCTTTGTGCCAGTTGAGGAGTAAGGATTATCATTGTTTAAAAACCATCAGATAGAATGATTTCTGTGGCATTCCAGTATATTAGAGCATTGTTTGTTTTGGGTGGGTTTTTTTTGTTTTGTTTTTTTTTTTTGCTTCCTTAGCAAACAAGCATTGTAACCCAGATATATAAATCCCCACAGGATATGGTGGAATGTTTAGGTATTTTCCTGGACTACATCAGAACACAAACCTGAATGTGAGAGGCAGATGTAGACTGATAGAGATCCTCCCAAATAGATCAGAAAGACACTTGCCATATAATGCCAGCATTTGCTTTTTAGGTAGGTGTCACTGTGGAAAAACAGATGGATTATCTGAAGGCCTGCGCAGTATGAAAATAACATAGACTAAGAATATCTGGGGTGAGCTCTTCTCATAAAACAGTGGCTCTGAAATTGCAAGCATAACTTCTAACTCAGTCTGTATCAACCACATCTTTGGTGATTCTGTTTTCAGCATTTTCATGATGTGATAAATGGCATGGCAAATACAAACTGAGTTTGTGAGTGGCAACTGTGGTGAATAAGTGACTTTAGCAACAATGTATTCCAGTCCAAATGGTCTCATTTCCACATTATTAGTATGCCATGTTGATCATATGCTAGAACTACTGATTTATTGAAACTGAGTATTTTATTTGGCACATCTACTGCATAATTTGCTTCCATCGATAGCCCAGATGAGATGCAATATTTAATTCATCCAGCCAAAATTAGTACCAAAATTCCAAAACAGCTGAACAACAGATACTTAAAGTGGATAGGAATTGCTTACAGAAATGTTGTGATAGGCTACTACTGAGAGGCTGTTCTGTTCAACTTCAGCATATGGTGAGAGATCCATAGCTCTTAGTTTCCCTATCCTGAGACATACAGGCACAGTTTAAGGACAGCAAAATTGGGACATGTCATAAATTTTCCATCTACTCTGTCGGGTGGCAACTTCCAAATGAGTAGAAAGAGATTTATTGTCCCGAATGGCAACCAAGGAGGAAGATTGGGCATCTTCACTAAGCCTGTGCATTACAGTATCATTTTCTGAACAGTACAGGCTGCTGGTATTATGTAAATACACAGATATTGCAAGTAAAAAAGAAGCTGTGGTGATACTTCTACCACTATAGTAACTGATGTACAGGAAAGTTCTTGCACAATCAAGAGCCATCAGAAGTAGAAGACAAGCCATAGGTATGGTGGCATAGTCTAACCTCTCTCAAAAATCCTCAGCTTGTATGCCTCACTCTTGGTTTTCTTCATTTATTCCACTTGCTTTTTCAGTATGACAGTGGTGGCATACAGTTTTTCTGTGTCTCAGACATACAAATATTCTCACCAGTGCAGTCCTTGGAAGCTCCTACCCTTCAATGTATAAGGCATGAATGGTCCTTTCTCCTTGGTTCTTTCCAAATTGAGATAAATCTGGAACATACCACTCATGTTCTTACCAGCATATGGAGTATATATGTTTATACCATCTGGCTTCAGCAAAGGCAGAGGAATTTAATGCAGATCAGGAAAGACAAGAGTGAAGGGAGAAAAAGAAATAAACTTTTCTCCAACACATTATCATCCTTAGATAGAATAATCATTTTAAACACATGTAGCTTAATTATTGCTCCTTTGGAATGCTCCCTATTTGAACCTTAGGAATAGAAATAATGGAGGCTGCCTATTCTCTGTTCCTTATCCTATGACTGTAGAATGCCATAGAGATGACAAGAGGAAATACTAGTTGAAGAAATGAAAGAAAATACAACTTGGAATGAATTTAAAATATTAATGTTGATTTTTTTCCCTATATTCTAACAAGTCTGTTGCCTATTTATCATGCCTTAAATATGCCTATATTTCTTCTTTCATCTGTAAATAGAAAAGAATGAAGAAGAAGAACAAGAAGCTAAAAGAGAACTGAAGCGCAGTCTCAGCCGAAAGGTAAATTAAATGTTTTGTTCAACATACATCCTTTGCACTGTCAACTGATAAACATTGGAGGTGGCTCTGGAAATTTTGTTCTAATGAGGAAAGATTGAATGAGTTGCGTGTGATATTTAACCCGGAGAGGAGATGATTCATCAAATGTTGGAATAGCTGTTATGTAGATAATGAGAGTGAGCACGAGGAGGAAGTGCAGCTCTAGAGTTAAAGATCTTGCTCAGAGATCAAATTAAAAATTAGGAAATTCAACAACAGATTAATTTTAAAAATGTCATTAAGACAAAAATATAAATGGGCAGGGCATGCTGTATGGGCACCTGACAGTAGGTGGACAAAAAAAGTGACATGGCTGTAGTCTTACAGCTACACACACCAACTCAGACGACTTCCTACAAAATGGAGAGACTGACTAGGAAAAGTTCTTAGTCCCAACTGGAACATCTTAGCAAGACCAAATGGAATATAAGTATATGCTGAAATTGTTGCTTTGGGTAGCAACACTGTCCATGTGAATAAGACAATAAAGTGAATGTGTGGAATCCTTCGCTGAAGATGATACGGCGTCTGGATCCATTGATTTGACTTTTAAGAACCAAGACTTGACTACTAGAAAGAGATTTCTTCCAATGCAAGATTGTCTTGAATTCAAGCAGAGATTGTGATGCTTTATCAGTGAATTTCCTTCATCAATAGGATTTAACCTTTGCTTTTTTTAATTCTTTGATTCTATGCCCTGTTTGTTTTCCATGGTTTATATATCTCTTCTAGGTTAACCCTAGTGTACAGATTCTTTGGGAGGGAGCTTATTAAATTTGCTCTTTTATAGCTTAGTTTGAGACCAACAGTGGCTGAACTTCAGGCAAGAAGAATCTTACGTTTTAATGAATATGTGGAAGTTACAGATTCACCAGATTATGATCGACGTGCTGATAAACCCTGGGCAAGATTAACACCTGCAGATAAGGTAAGAGGCATAACTCTTGCATGCATCAATAAATATACATGAGTGAATAAGTGAGTGAATGAATGGGTGAAATTTTAAATGCACTGTCTTTCTGTATCTCAAAATAACTCTCTGTATCTTAAAATAATTCTCCATTGATTGAGATTTCAGTGGAGTCATGCAGCAATCACCTCCAAACATGATTTCTTTTAGTGGTAATTGTTCTAGAACTATTTTAAAATAAATTTTAAAGTTGTATTCAGAAGGAACAATGCACTAAATCTGGCTCCCTTACCCACTGAATAATTATTTCTCATAGTATTTGTGGCATGTTGGAATACTTAGCAAATGGTTCAGTTTAAGACAAGGAAGTGTAAAGTCCCCCAATGGATTAGCTTCATTCTGTCTTCAATGTTTTTCATTAAGTATATGAAACCATGGGGGGAGAAAATCAAGGGATTTGGGATTGGATGTTACCAGTATGCTGATAATACATAAATCCAAAAGTCTAATAATTTTAGGGAATGGTGCGATTCTGTAAAGGAATGTAGAATTGACCTGGGAGAAGGAAGGAGCAAACTGTTAAGGTGGACTTGCAGAAGAGATTTACACAGTAATTATATTTAGTATAGATGGGACAGAGAGAAACTTGGAAAGGCTTTCAAGATTTTTGTCAGCTCTTTGAGATAGACTAGGTCAAGAAAAAGGCAGGGATTCCAAGATTGCTGTATATTGTAGTAAGATAAAATAATGGAATCTTGAAAGCTATCCAAGTTACTTACTGTCCTCTCTTATACTAAACAAAATCAAAGTGAGTTATTTTGAGTTTCTTTCCCATGTTTCCTTCTTTCTCAGGACTGTATAGTTCAAAATTTGTAAATGTCTATTAATTTAATATTAATTTAATTACAGATTAAAATGTATAATTTATCCATCAAAAATCTGTAATCATCTACTAACACTTTACTTGGCCCCCTCCAAAGCCAAGTCTTCCACCATTGGGGCATAGAATATGGCCCCCATGAACCACTACTCCTTCACTCCACCTAGAAGCAAGTACTCCTGCCACAGTAGAGACAGCTACATTTTACTTGATGAATAGATCAGCTGCATGACATACACAAGCTCTATCTGAGCTTCTTTCAACACTGGCAATGGGGGTGGGGGGTAGCTCTCTGTAGTTACCCAGAGAACAGGGACTACCTCCTTGATTCATAGGGTTGATATTCTGTGGGAGGGGCAGCAAGAGGATGTGTGAAGGCTGAATTGCCACAATGATTCCATGCAGCAAAGGTAGCAGCCAGAGAAGGAGAAAAAAGGGGAGTCAGTGGACTTTAGAAGAGTTCAGTGAAAGGATCCTGATGCTTATTAGCTGAGACAGAGGGCATGCTCCTAAGCAGGACAAAAAGGGTGAGAATCTTGAGTCCAAGAAAGCCCCTGCCATCCTCCAGTCTCACAGTGCTAGTAGCCTTTGGGTCTGTAATTCCCATCATCCTCCCAGTTCCTTTCCCAGTTAAAGATGGATGGAAGTTGTAGGCTGTATCAGTTCCATCTTCACTTTGAATTTGTCTCCTGGACACATAGTCATCAGTTATGGTCAGGCAGCTGCCAGTTTACATGCCTGGCTAATAGCATTTTATGCTTGTAAAAAAAAAAAAGACTTTAAAATGAGGAATTAATCTCCAGGCTTGACTGTTGTAATATGCTGCTTTGGTATGTGGTCCAGACATTCCAGTTACTACAGAATTCAATAGCCAAGTTGATCTCTCAAAGGGCTGAAAGAGATCATAGACCTGGACTGAAAGCTCTAGGGTGGCTTCCATTTTCTATTGGGGTAAAACCAGCCTGCTGGCTACTTTAATAGCACTATACAGCTTGCATCTTTTTCTCTAAGATCTCCCTGCTTACTGAAGTCTTCTAAGAAGGTTCATCTACCATTACCCAGGTATCCTCTCTCAAGAATCCAGACTGAACGTCCTTGGTAGCCACCCAGATTCTCTAGAATGCACTCCCAGTTATGTTGAGAGGACTGACCTCTTTATTGACTGTTAAAAATACCCTTAAAATACACATTTTTGAACAGGCTTTTTATTTTTAATATTTTAATTTTAACTCTGTTTATAAATAGTCAAGAGACTTCAGTAGTCAGTTGTATAAAAAGTGTAATGAAGTCCTGTGCTGAAACTGGAGACTATGACTTGGGATGAAACTGGAAATGACTTGGGATGTCATTGCAGTGGCACATTGTAATACCTTTGTACTTCTGATGAACATCCTTTTAATAAAGGATTACTGGGAATAACAGTTTCTTAAACAATGAAAGCAAAGGAGAAGAGCAGCTATGAACTTTGTGGGGCAAAGGATGCATAAAATGTGATGATCACTGTGTTAAATGTTTGGTATATCATCTCTGTGTGAAAAGAAACAGCCTTCAAAGAATTTTTTTGTGAAACACGTAAATGATGTAGGTGCTAAATGATCACAGTCTTTGCTTTTAAATGCCAATTACCATTACCCATGTAATATGCTCTGAAGCTCTGCTGTGCTTTAATATGTGCCATCTGAGACCTGTAGAGGAGTACAGAGATGAGGTATTCAAACCAATTGTTATATAAACAAGGTATTTAAGCAAACTGTTAAGTAAACATCAGCTTAGCCCAGATAGATGGGAGGGGGTGAGGAAGAAACTCAAGATTGCCCTGCATTAATTCTCTTTAGTGTAAGAGAGGAGAGAGTTTCTGTTAGGCTTTCAAGATTCTATCAATATACTTGGCAATAACAGAGTTCTAGTACCCCTTGTGGAGTCTGCTTCCTGACCTAACCTACCTTGAAGAACAGGCAAGAACAAAGGCCTGGAATATTCACTCATCTCATCTAATTCTACATAAAAACTAATATTTAATGAAAAATATTTGCCATCTTGTATGCCTGAAGACAATTCTGCTGCTGCTGCTGCTTTCTTCAGTTCTCCAGCCCTGAAGTTAATGCATTTTCTTGGTTCTTATTGGGATGATTTTATCATGAAAAATAAATACAAACAATACATTATGGTTTGCTGACTATATCAGAATTGGTTAGGTTTATGCCAACAACATTATGGTTTAATGTATCTAACTTCTGTTTTGTTTATTGTTTCCAATCTTGTGTTTTATGTATCTATCTAGAATATAAGATACTGAAGTTCTAGGAGCAGTTTTTTGTTTTGATAGATGTAGACAGATATTTCAGGCCTATTTTAATTATAAGGGAACTTATACCAGAATGCTACACAAAATAATTCTGAATTATTCCTCAGCAATGGTTTGATAGATTTGAAATTCAAAGTAAATTTGGGGACCTCTCTCTATTTTGAGTAGTAAGTTTCTCTTATTATACTTTATGGGGAAGTTTGAGTGTTGCTTTTTAATTAAACTTGAAACGCTACATTGTCCAATCTCACATAGTAAAATATTCAGCTTTACTAAATATAAATATAGAGTCATGTATATGAGATAAGTAGCTATATAAATTGAACAAATAAATAAAACTTCATGATGTAAGAAGAGAAAAAACAAGTTAAATATAAGAGATGCTAACGAGTAAGTATTAAAGGGAGAGGCAATCTAAGCAATCTATTATCCTTCAGAGCTCCCATGAATCCTTACAAATTTAGCCAATGGTTAGGGATTATGAAAGTTGGTATACAAAATGTATTTTGCCTCTTTTTGAGATTGACCACGTTGTTATGTTATTTATGCATTTCCATTTAAGGCAATCTTAGTTCACATTTTGTGTTTTCTTTCATTAGGCAGCAATACGGAAAGAATTAAATGAATTTAAAAGCACAGAAATGGAAGTACATGAAGAAAGTAGACAGTTTACAAGGTAAGAAACAATTCATGTGCAGACAGCAAACTCTTTAAAATAGCTTCTCCTGAAATCTTTAGATCATTTATCATTTCCTGAGCTGAAGAGGTAACTTTTCTCAATAAGTTAAGCGTAAACATTGGATTATTAATTTACCATTTGTCAAAGATAAGAATCAATAAGAACTTATTAATTCAAGATAGATTGTTTCTCAGACTTGAAATAGTATAATTTTATTTTCTGTATCAACAGAAGAGAATATATGAAGCCCAGGGTTGAACTGTGGAGTCCCTAGTGCTTTCTGGGCTTGGTTATTTGCAGACATTTCATTATTGGATTAGGTAGCATCATCAGTGCTATTGAGTGTGGGGTTACTCCCTGTTTATATACAGTAGCTTGTCCTCCCAGTGTTGGTGGGGATGTGGTTTTCTCCTTGGTAGTTCCTTAGAGTATTGTTTTCTGCTTGCTTGATTGTTTGTCTGATGTTAATCCCTGCTTATGTGGATGTAGGCTGCTAGAGAGGATGCGTTCTGGTCTTTTTGTTTCCTTCTTAGCTTTCTTATTGTCTCTTTTGAATGATGTGTAAATGTGGTTTATCTCAAACAATCAAGGACTCCACAGTATTTTCTGTATCTCAATAGGTTGATTAATAGGCAAACTCTACTGCTTCTTCCTAAATGCAGTCTATTAACAACATGACTGCTAGCTTGCCAAATACGGAATAATTTTCTTCCTCTGAAGTCTTAGGCAGTTGGCAAAATGTGGAGACTTACTAAGGTGCAACTGAGTTGCCAACCGTAGCTAGTAGATAACATATACAGTACTGTGCAAAAGTTTTAGGCAGGTGTGAAAAAATGCTATAAAGA